GCCCCCCCATAAAGATTGGTGGAGAACATAAGTACCTGAGTGAAGCAGAGAAGAAACTGTGCCTTCTACTTCTTGAAGCCACTTTCTTCCCTGGCTTCCTAGTTCTTTTTCATTTTTCTTGCTGATTGTCATCTACTACCTGTTTTTGTTTTATTTTTCATTCACTGGCCCTTCTTCCTCAACCCACTTCTGATATAGCAAGATGGCCCTGCAGCCTGCCCTCAGCCCTCTTCCACCACACTCCTCCCTGGTGACCTCAATGCATGTGGCTTCCACTTTCTCCCATCTGCAGAGGGCTTCCAAGCCCACATCTTCAACTCCCACCTTTCACATGAGTTCCAGCCCTATCTTGCATCTGCTTTTGGTAAAGCGTCTGGGGGAGAGCTAGATTCTAATGCTGGAGGCTGCAGGAATGGGTATAGGTCCCTGTTCAACCACAGTCTCTTCAAAATACTTCATTTTGTTTTTCTGCATTGGTAAACTCGGGTTGATGATGGCATTCAATTTGTAAGGTTGTTTTGAGGATTTGATGAAACAGTGTATATAAAGCTTTGTGTGCAGTGCCTGGCTGGCATAGAGTAAGTGCTCAATAATTGTTAGATACTATTACTAGACATTTCCATCTGAGGGTCTTATGGCCTCCTGAACTATCCAAACCCAAATGTAGTCTGAGCCCTCTCCTACCTCTGTCTGTTTCTAAACCTCCTGACCTCCAAGGTAATGCTGGAATCAGAGGGACCTTGACTGACCCAGGTGTATCGTGGGCCTGGGAAAGCCCTTTAGCAGACCTTTGTTATGTCCATAGCCTTCCGTATCTCTTGGCCAGATGGTTACATCTGCCTACCTCTCCTCCAGACTTGCTCTCTAACACAAACTCTGTGTGGTCTGTTCCTGCAGAAGTACTTTTGTAAAATGCCAAGCAAATCCGGTCTTTCCCCATCACCCTTCCACGCTTGCCTCAGAGATCTTCCAAGGACAGGACAAAGCCCAGAACCCTTCATGTGGCAAGTCATGGCTTTCAGATTTGGTCTTTGGACCCTGAACTCACTTTTCCCTAGTGTTTCTGCTTCTTATCTTTGATACTTGCTGTTTCTCCTTTTTGAAGTGCCCTTCCCTCTTCCCCTGACCCCTCGCAGAGCTTGTTGTGTCTGCAGTTCACTGTCCACACAAAGCCCTAACCTACTCTAATGGTTATTTACTCCCTGCGTGCTTCTCATTCTCCATCCCGCTTCCAAAGCTGGTGAACTCAGTGATAGTAGACAACTTCTTTTTCTTTTTTAAATGTAACTTTATCACTGCAACTGCCAATCCTGGGACTTAAGATGTAATAGGAACTCAATGATTTATGAGTGAATGAACCTGGAGGGACTAGGCTTTTTTTTTTTTAGGGACTAGGCTTTTTTTTTTTTTTTTTGAGTTCCAAAAAGTTCATGTCTTTGTTCTATTTATCTTAGTAGAATAATGTGACCTTCTTATGGCTTGAATATCCTGTGCAGGGCTTTGTGTAAGAAGCTGAGGCATGTTGTGACAGGTCTTTGGGAACAGGAGAATTGTGACATAGTATATTGTGTTCTGTGATTTAAGTTGTGTATGCAAACACATTTGACAAACATTCCTCTGGGTGCCCATTATGCACAGGCCCTGGGCAAAGCAGTAAGAGCAGATCATAATGACACTACAATCCTCCTTCTAATTTAACTGAGTCTTTCCTTTATGCTAAGCTCTGTGCCTAAGTTAACTGGAGGGATTAACCATCTCCAAAATATCAGGAAATGGAGGCTTCTATCTAAAGGAATTGAGCTAATGAAAGGAATCCAGATTTGAACCAAACCCTGCCCTGTCCCTAAATTCCTGGCACCTTGCCTTGCTGCAAACCACCTCATAGCTTCTGATTATTGAACACCTCCTGACTCTGAGGAGCTAGGCATGTGTTGATTCCATTTAGTTCTTCTAACACTCAGCAAGGCCTTATTGTCCCCATGTGGAAGAGAGAAAATGGGCTCAGAGGATCACAGAGAACTGTGGCAGGTGGCAGAGCTGCGATTCTTGGGGTCTCCTTTGACTCCTCAGCTCATTCTCTATCCTCTTTGCAAATGGCATGATCTAGCCAGAGGGCAAGAGTCTTGTAAGCAGGCCACTGAAGTTCAGTGTCATTGTGAGGCATACCACAGCCTAGGCCTGGCGCAGCGAGGAAGAACTGACAGAGCTGCACAGGTTGTGGGGTGCAGAATCCTGATCAGGTCAATAATGTGTCGTTAAATCGTTCCTTCATCAGCATTTGGGCCTTCAATTTTCAGGATACTAGTAACAATAGATGCAGACACAGAAAGAAAGGCAGGCTCATTTTTAGGAAGAACTCAGTCTGTTAGAGAGGAGAGGATGGAAGGACAAGATGAAGAGAAGGAATGACAACAGGAGGAAATAGGCTGCGACAAAGCTAGTTGCCAGGCACAGAAATTAATCCAGAAGCCCCTCAGTTACCAGCCCATCCCATGCCCATTCCTCACCAGTCCCATGAGGCCTTCCAGGGTCAGCCCTGCCAACCTCTCTGACCGATTCTTTTGCCACACTCACCTACTCATAGTCCTCCAGGTTGTCTATGTGTTCCTGCCTCAGGGCCTTTGGCCTTGCTGTGCCCATCGCCTGGCATGCTCTTTCCCTTTTGCTTCACATCCGTGAATCAGCCAGGTTTCAGCTCAAGTGTCCCCTCCTCACAGAGCTCTTCCCTGGTTGTCTTCCCCATTTACTCTTTGTCACACCAGCCATTTCTTGCCAAAGACTAGTTAAAACAAAAATGTCAGTGTAAGTCGGTAGTTAGGAGCATGCGCTCTGGAACCAGGGTTCCGCTCTCAGCTCTGACAGCTCATAGCAGGAGAGCCTCGGGCAAGCTTCTTAACCTCTCTGTGCCTCAGTGTTCTCATCTGAAAATTGGAATGATAATAATAGCATAAGGTATGATTGCGGGGATTAACTGAGATTCGATGAGTAAAGCACTAGTAGTGCCTGGTCTGTGGGGGTGTGTATGAAAATCAAAGAGTGAGTGAGTCATCTAATTTTCACTCATCCATCCAATGCATGCCGAGTTTGAATATATAGACAGGACAGAATGGAGGACTGAGCATACAGGGACAGACAAGTAGTCTCTGTCCTAGAGGGGGCTTCAGCATGTCAGACCATTTCCCTTGTTGGTACAGATAATGAATTTTATTGGTAAACTTCTGCCTAGAGCTACCATTTATCTTCATTCTGGTTACATCCTCCATCTGCTTTGCTTCCTGTTCTGGGACTTGTGGTGCCAATGCTGGATCATGACCTGAGTGACACATAAATATATACAGTTTTACACCCACATGATTTATTTATTGCTTATAATTTTACTTCTTCTTTTTAGTAGTATGTTCAATTAGATGTTTGGCTAATGGTGAAAGGTCAACTCTCACAAAAGAATGACCAAAGCAGAATAATAGCTAAAGGCTCTCATCCCCCCTCCCCGTCTTCTGTTTTCATTGCTTCGAAGGTTCCATATATACTGGACCTACTACCTCTTCTCCAAGTCTGCCTCATTTCTTCTTGGGCTGGTTTTCACTTCCTCTCAGAAGCCTTCACTGATTTTCTGAGATGGTGGGCTCTGTAGACCTCGCACTCACTGTGTAGTAAGACTTACTGTTCCACTGCAGGGGAGCTAGGGGATCTATCTACTTGCCCTCTGGTCAACCTGTGCATCTTTTTGTCTTATTCTTCATTGTATCTTCAATGTAGACACTTTTTTTTTTGCTGTTAAGAATTAGTGTTCTCACCATTTGACCCAGTTATCCCACTCCTCAGTATATACCCAGTTATCCCACTCCTCAGTATATACCCAGTATATACCCATCAGCATACTATAGTGATGCAGCCACATCAATGTTTATAGCAGCTCAATTCACAATAGCTAAGCTATGGAACCCACGTAGGTGCCCTTCAATGGGGGAATGGATAAAGAAAATGGAATATTACTCGGCCATAAAGAAGAATGAAATTATGGCATTTGCCAACAAAAGGATAGACCTGGAGGCTACCTTGCTAAGTGAAATAAGTTAATCTCCCCCCAAACAAAAGGCTGAATGTTCTCTCTGATGCTAACACACAATAAGGGTAGGAGAGAAAAGATAGAAGTACTTTGGATTAGACAAAGGGGGATGAAGGGAGGGGAGGGGATTTGGGAATAGGGAAGACAGTGGAACGAATCAGACATAACTTTCCTATGTTCATATATGAATACATTTCCAGTGAAACTCCAATCAGGTATCATACATACATGGAGTATAATTCCACAAGAATGGGAATTATACTCCATGTATGTATGATATGCCAAAATATACTGTACTCCCATGTACTTATAAAAAGAACAAATTAAAAAAAGGTTAATTATAAAGTAAGAATTAGTGTTCTCTTTGCAGGTATAATAAAAATTGAATTTACGTATAGGACAAGAGCCATTAAAGCAGATAAATTAACAATTTGCACTGTGCTACAGAAAGCATGTTCATTTTATAAGGGGACTTTTTGCAGAATCCACTGAGTAGGATGATGCTATAAAAACAACCTCAAATCTTAGTGGTTTCACACACACACAAAACGACTTTCTTGATTATGTAGTAGTTTGGTGCAAGTGCTCAGTCAGAAGCCTTACAAATCTTGAGAATCCACCATCCCTGATGCCCTTGGGTTCTCTGCTGGCCCTTTTCTGCATTTGACTGGCCAATGGGAATGAGAGAAGAAGATTGCTCAGGAGGTTTTCTTCTTGGCCATGCCTGACCATGGCACACATCACTTTCCAGACCACTAATTGAACTCAGTCTCAGGGCCACACACACTCTTGGGACTCTGGGGCAAATGGTCCCACTGTGTGTCCAGGGGGGGAAAGGGGAACAGGTTTTGGTGCCTGCCCAGCAGTGTCTGTCTGCAGCGGGTTCCAGAGTAAAGGAATCACACTGATTACTGCTGTTTTGACTTTACAGACAAACACATGTGATCAGAATCTAAATTACTGCCTTGAAATCATTGAACAAGTTGCCAGATTGCAGGGACAGCTCTTTGGAATCCTCACTATTGCAGCCCAAGAAGGTGAGAATGGCCCCCACTTTTCCCTTCCCACTCTCTCTTCTAGTCTCTTTCCATTGTTGGTGTTTGCTGACTGAACTGGTGTGCACTTCGCTTTCTGTCTCTGACCTTGTGCATGTTTTCTTAGGAGGACATAATGATGGTGTGGAAACAATCAAGTCTCGCCTTTTGCCTTGGCTGGAGGCTTCTTTTACTGCTGCTTCCATGGGAAAACCTGTTGACAGCAGGGTTCCCTCTCTACAGGTAAGAATGCTAAAGAATGACCTTTGACTCCCTGAAACAATGCAATAAAACTGAAATTTCTGAGATAATGAGAAAACTTAGCAAAGAGTGTCATAATTTGGGATTACTGGTTTCCATGGGAGAGTGTCAATTCCAACAGCTGGAGACCAGACTAGAATAGAATATGGGCCTTGCTTCATGCATCAATATCATTATGTCTGGGTAAATACAACATCAGTATATGAGTTTGCTTTCCAGGACCACAACAAAATACCTGAGATTGGATAAAATATAAATAAAAGAGTTTGATTTAGCTCCTAAGTTCTGAAGGCTGAAAGTCCAAATAGCACAATGCTGACTCTAGAGGGACCTCCTAGGGGACATATGGCAGGAACATATGTGGGAAACAGAGATCAAATAGAGACAGGAATCCAACATGTGAAGAAGGTCAGGATTGCTCTTTTATAGCAACCATTTCCAAGAACTACATCAGTTCCTTCCGAGGACAGTGCTCTCAATTACCTAAAAGCCATTTAAGGTTCCACATCCCCTCTCACCTTGCCATACTGGGGACCAGCCTTCCAACACATGCACCCTTGGAGGACACACTCAAACCATATTCAAACCACAGTGATCACCAGCTTTACTTTTTTTTTTTTGATGGTTGTATTATCTCTTTTTTTTTTTTAATTTTTTATTGTTGGTTGTTCAAAACATTACATAGTTCTTGATATATCATATTTCACACTTTGATTCAGGTGGGTTATGAGCTCCCATTTTTACCCCATATACAGATTGCAGAATCACATCAGTTACACATCCATTGATTTACATATTGCCATACTAGTGTCTGTTGTGTTCTGCTGCCTTTCCTATCCTCTACTATCCCCCCTCCCCTCCCCTCCCCTCTCCTCTTCTCTCTCTGCCCCCTCTACTGACATTCATTTGTCCCCCTTGTATTATTTTTCCCTTTCCCCTCACTTCCTCTTGTATGTACTTTTGTATAACTCTGAGGGTCTCCTTCCATTTCCATGCAATTTCCCTTCTCTCTCCCTTTCCCTCCCACCTCTCATCCCTGTTTAATATTAATCTTCTTCTCATGCTCTTCGACCCTACTCTGTTCTTAGTTACTCTCCTTATATCAAAGAAGACATTTGGCATTTGTTTTTTAGGGATTGGCTAGCTTCACTTAGCATAATCTGCTCTAATGCCATCCATTTCCCTGTAAATTCTATGATTTTGTCATTTTTTAATGCAGAGTAATACTCCATTGTGTATAAATGCCACATTTTTTTTTATCCATTCATCTATTGAAGGGCATCTAGGTTGGTTCCACAGTCTTGCTATTGTGAATTGTGCTGCTATGAACATCGATGTAGCAGTGTCCCTGTAGCATGCTCTTTTTAGGTCTTTAGGGAATAGACCAAGAAGGGGAATAGCTGGGTCAAATGGTGGCTCCATTCCCAGCTTTCCAAGAAATCTCCATACTGCTTTCCAAATTGGCTTCACCAATTTGCAGTCCCACCAGCAATGTACAAGTGTACCATTTTCCCCACATCCTCGCCAGCACTTGTTGTTGTTTGACTTCATAATGGCTGCCAATCTAACTGGAGTGAGATGGTATCTTAGGGTGGTTTTGATTTGCATTTCTCTGACTGCTAGAGATGGTGAGCATTTTTTCATGTACTTGTTGATTGATTGTATGTCCTCCTCTGAGAAGTGTCTGTTCAGGTCCTTGGCCCATTTGTTGATTGGGTTGTTTGTTCTCTTATTGTCTAATTTTTTGAGCAAAGAGGAAAACAAACCATGTTTAGTAACATAAATAAACAAATATGGCTGGAAGAACAACCCATATCTCAATAATAACCCTAAATGTTAATGGCTTAAACTCACCAATCAAGAGACACAGGCTAGTAGAATGGATCACAAAACAAGACCCAACAATATGCTGCCTACAGGAGACGCATTTGATAGGAAAAGACATACATAGTCTGAAGGTGAAAGGTTGGGAAAAATCATATCACTCATATGGACTTCGGAAACAAGCAGGAGTGTCCATACTCATATCAAATAAAATAGATTTCAAGCCCAAGTTAATCAAAAGGGATAAAGAGGGACACTACATACTGCTTAAGGGAACCATACACCAACAAGACATAACAATCATAAATATATATGCCCCAAACAATGGTGCAGCTATGTTCATCAAACAAACTCTTCTCAAGTTCAAGAGTCTAATAGACCACCATACAATAATCATGGGAGACTTCAACACACCTCTCTCGCCACTGGACAGATCTTCCAAACAAAAGTTGAATAAGGAAACTATAGAACTCAATAATACAATTAATACCCTAGACTTAATTGACATATATAGAATATACCACCCAACATCAAGCAGTTACACTTTTTTCTCAGCAGCACATGGATCCTTCTCAAAAATAGATCATATATTATGTCACAGGGAAACTCTTAGACAATACAAAGGAGTAGAGATAATACCATGCATCCTATCTGATCATAAGGGAATGGAACTGAAAATCAACGATAAAAGAAGGAAGGAAAAAGAATACATCACTTGGAGAATGAACAATAGGTTACTGAATGATCAATGGGTTATAGAAGACATCAAGGAGGAAATTAAAAAATTCTTAGAGATTAATGAAAACACTGATACAACATATCAGAATCTATGGGACACATTGAAAGCAGTTCTAAGAGGAAAATTCATTGCTTGGAGTTCATTCCTTAAAAAAAGAAAAAACCAACAAATAAATGATCTCATACTTCATCTCAAAATCCTAGAAAAAGAAGAGCAAAACAACAGCAAAAGAAGTAGAAGGCAAGAAATAATTAAAATCAGAGCTGAAATTAATGAAATTGAAACAAAAGAAACAATTGAAAAAATTGACAAAACTAAAAGTTGGTTCTTTGAAAAAATAAACAAAATCGACAGACCCTTAGCCATGCTAGCGAAGAGAAGAAGAGAGAGAACTCAAATTACTAGCATACGGGATGAAAAAGGCAATATCACAACAGACACTTCAGATATACAGAAGATAATCAAAAATTATTTTGAATCCTTATACTCCAATAAATTAGAAGATAGTGAAGGCATCGATAAATTTCTTAAGTCATATGATCTGCCCAGATTGAGTCAGGAGGATATAGACAACCTAAACAGACCAATATCAATTGAGGAAATAGAAGAAACCATCAAAAGACTACCAACTAAGAAAAGCCCAGGACCGGATGGGTATACAGCAGAGTTTTACAAAACCTTTAAAGAGGAACTAATACCAATACTTTTCAAGCTACTTCAGGAAATAGAAAAAGAGGGAGAACTTCCAAATTCATTCTACGAGGCCAACATCACCCTGATACCTAAACCAGACAAAGACACTTCAAAGAAAGAAAACTACAGACCAATATCTCTAATGAACCTAGATGCAAAAATCCTCAATAAAATTCTGGCGAATCGGATACAAAAACATATCAAAAAAATTGTGCACCATGATCAAGTAGGATTCATCCCTGGGATGCAAGGCTGGTTCAATATACGGAAATCAATAAATGTTATTCACCACATCAATAGACTTAAAAATAAGAACCATATGATCATCTCGATAGATGCGGAAAAAGCATTCAACAAAGTACAGCATCCCTTTATGTTCAAAACTCTAGAAAAACTAGGGATAAGAGGAACATACCTCAATATTGTAAAAGCAATCTATGCTAAGCCTCAGGCTTGCATCATTCTGAATGGAGAAAAACTGAAGGCATTCCCTCTAAAATCTGGAACAAGACAGGGATGCCCTCTCTCTCCACTTCTGTTCAACATAGTTCTCGAAACACTGGCCAGAGCAATTAGACGAAAGAAATTAAAGGCATAAAAATAGGAAAAGAAGAACTTAAATTATCACTATTTGCAGATGATATGATTCTATACCTAGCAGACCCAAAAGGCTCTACAAAGAAACTATTAGAGCTAATAAATGAATTCAGCAAAGTGGCAGGATATAAAATCAACACACATAAATCAAAGGCATTCCTGTATATCAGCGACAAATCCTCTGAAATGGAAATGAGGACAACCACTCCATTCAAAATATCTTCAAAAAAAATAAAATACTTGGGAATCAACCTAACAAAAGAGGTGAAAGACTTATACAATGAAAACTACAGAACCCTAAAGAGAGAAATAGAAGATCTTAGAAGATGGAAAAATATACCCTGTTCATGGATAGGCAGAACTAACATCATCAAAATGGCGATATTACCAAAAGTTCTCTATAGGTTTAATGCAATGCCAATCAAAATCCCAACGGCATTTCTTGTAGAAATAGAGAAAGCAATCATGAAATTCATATGGAAAAATAAACGACCCAGAATAGCAAAAACAACTCTAAGCAGGAAGTGTGAATCAGGCGGTATAGCGATACCAGACTTCAAACTATACTACAGAGCAATAGTAACAAAAACAGCATGGTACTGGTACCAAAACAGGCGGGTGGACCAATGGTACAGAATAGAGGACACAGAAACCAATCCACAAAACTACAACTACCTTATATTTGATAAAGGGGCTAAAAGCATGCAATGGAGGAAGGATAGCATCTTCAACAAATGGTGCTGGGAAAACTGGAAATCCATATGCAACAAAATGAAACTGAATCCCTTTCTCTCGCCATGCACAAAAGTTAATTCAAAATGGATCAAGGAGCTTGATATCAAATCAGAGACATGCCGTCTGATAGAAGAAAAAGTTGGCTACGATCTACATACTGTGGGGTCGGGCTCCAAATTCCTCAATAGGACACCCATAGCACAAAAGTTAATAACTAGAATCAACAAATGGGACTTACTCAAACTAAAAAGTTTTTTCTCAGCAAAAGAAACAATAAGAGAGGTAAATAGAGAGACTACATCCTGGGAACAAATCTTTACTCCTCACACTTCAGATAGAGCCCTAATATCCAGAGTATACAAAGAACTCAAACCAGCTTTACTTTTACATGTTTAAATGGATAAACATGAATCCCTTTCTAAAACTGAAGCATTTAGAGCAGACTGTTTTAATGCAGGGGTCTTAACTAGACAGAATTCCTGCTTGGAGATCTAGGGTCAGGAAATCTGTCCTGCTCCCATGGCCCTTGGTAGGGTCTGAACATTTATGTCTCAGTTTCCTTATTTAACTGAATTAGGACAGTGATTTTACTGACCTAATAATGGGGTCATTGTGAGAATGAAATGCAATAAACATGAAAAACCCTTGCAGAGGTGTGGTGTGTGGTTAAGACTTTAATAGCTATCAGTTGTCATCAGTAATTTTTCTCCCTGAGGATTTTTAAATGCTTCTCAAATTTTTACTCCCTGTGGGTATTACATCCGGTTGTACAGACATCGGATGATGCTTTAAAAGTATTTATTTATCTATTTTTTGTAAATCAAAGTGTAATTTATGTACAGTGAAATCCCAGGTCAGTGAGTTTTGACAAATCCCTTACTAAGAGATGAAGCATTTCCATCACTCCAGAGAGTTTCTTGTGCCACTCCAGGGCAACCACTCTTCTGGTTTCTATGACTCCAGATCAGTTTTGTGTGCTCTAGAACTTGATGCAAATGGAAGCACACATTATGTGTTCTTCTGTGTCTTGACTTTTTTTTTTTTTTTTTGCTCAGCACAGTGTTTTGCAATCCATGTCATTTTGTGTATTCAGACTAATTTTTATTTTTTTGTAATCTTTTCAGGACACATTTGAAATTGAGAGACTTAAAGGGAGTAGTCCTCGGGACCTTAAAGCAAGTAGTCCTCGGGACCTTAAAGAGAGTAGTCCTGGGGACCTACAACAACTAGACTCTGACTTGAACTCAACCCGTAATCAACTCAACCAGGTTAAAGACGAGTAAGAGGAATGCAAGTTATCTTTCTTCAAAAATAATTGTTTTCAATTTAACTGTTTAAATTTGAAGGAGAATAATGGCTCATGTGAAATGTGGGCATTTGTAAATAAGTAACATGATTTGCGTGTGTGTGGGCATTTGTAAATAAGTAACATGATTTGTGCAAGTTGGGAGTCAATGTCTGAGTTTGGGGACAAGATACCAATCTGGTCTGTGATCTCTGGTCCCTTGCCTCCATCTGCTGAGCTATTCCTCCTTTGCAGGTCCAGCATCAGCTCAGAGTTATAAATAAGTAAAGATTGTAGATGAAAATCTATCCTTGGGAGGAAAGATTTTTTTGAAAAAGATATAGAAGGGGAAGAGTTAAAGACGATGAAAGATCAACTAATGAGGAAAAAGAAGAGAATAAAAGACAAAGCAGCTATACTAATGTTCTTTTCAGGGCCTATTGATGCCTGATGGAGAGAGTTAGAGTTTAAAAAATAATATTTTGAAATAATTCTTAGGTATAATAATATATTTTAAAAAGTTAATGGTAGGCAATAACAGATGTCAGAGGCAGGCTCTGGGCAGTCAGGGTAGCAAGCACAGGGAATCACTGCAAAGAAAATTGCAAGTTTGGATTTATTCTTGAGGAAGATAGACAAATATGCATGAAATTGCCTTTGACAGAACTTAACAAAAGTCTGTTAATAAGGTCTTTCCACTCCCACAGTATCACTCCATTGCTTCTGGGAAGGGAAAGGAAGTCTGTTTTAACCAATTAAGTCTGTGATGATATAGTTGTAGCCCTCTGTGTTGTTCTCATGAGATGTCCTGTCTTCTCTCCCAAATGAAGATATCCCTATTGATGTAGTTTTACTTGATTATAAAAGTAGTACTAATTTCCTCATCAAATGTATACAAGTACCAAAAATGTTACCTCACCTCTGTCAACATGTTGGTATATTTGGCTCCAGACATTTTTCTACGTACTTATGCCTCTACATGCACCTGTGCAATTTTCCACTTGGAATCATAGTCAGCGAGCAGGAGTACAACTGCAGAAGTCAAATTGTACAGCTGTAACATGCAGGGAACATGATTTCTCTGACTCTCTATTTATTTCAACCCATGTCAGCTGATCTTTATATTTGCCTCATCTAGGTCTTTCCTGGTTAAGTATAGTCACTTTTGTGAAAACTTCAGTTAATAGTGAGAACTTCTATTCAGAGGTAGTTTTGCCTTGGCATGGAGCTTCCTTTCCCCTTATCCTTCCTTAGATTGGCATCTAGGGAAAGGATGCTACAGATAAGATCTTTTGCTCATGTACTGTGTTCTCAGCCTTAGTGGACTTGGCACTAGTGTCTTGTGCTGAGGGGTCCTGAGTTGTGCTTTGTCTGCTTAGGTTTCCAGGAATAAGAGCCCCTCTAGATGCTTCTAGTTGTGAAGCAGGACTTCAATACTTTGCTGGTTCTTTTTTATTTTTGGTACTGGGATTGAACCCAGGGGTGATTAACCGCTGAGCTATCCTCAGTCCTTTTGTCATATTTTATTTAGAGATAGGGTCTCACTGAGTTGCTTATGGTCTCGCTAAATTGCTGGCTTTGTGTGATCTATTTGCCTTAGCCTCCTGAGCCGCTGGGATTTCAGGTGTGGACCACTGAGCTCAACCCACCTGTAGTTCTTATTCTGTGTTTTTAATTTAAGGTAACCCAAATGTAAGTCTGTTCCCCAAATTCTATGGTAAGCAGCTCCCTCTTCCCTCTCTGATTCTGGCTTCCTTTTCTTCAGTTCCTCAGATGGCCCTTTGCAAGCAGTGTGTCCCAGAGCTGTCTTCTCAAACCGAAGTCTTTGCTGGGTAGGGTCTTACTAACTCCTGAGATGCCCTCAAGCCATCTTTCCTATTGTCCTGATGCAAAATACTTGGTGGCTTCTGTTTCTCCAGCTCTTCCTCCTCCTCCTCCTCTTCTTTCTTATTCTGAGATGGGGGTCTCTCTGTATTGCCCAGGATAGCCTCACTTATTATTCTCCTGCCTCAGAATCCCAAGTAGCTGGGATTACAAGGATGGGCTACTGCACCCAGATTCTTTTCTTAATGGCATTAATCTCTTTAGTACTCTTCTTGGATGCAACTTTAAATGTGCTTTATTTTGGGACAAACTCCAAGTTTTATATCTTTCCACACTGATTTTTGCTTTTGATTCTCACTGTGAATCTGGCTAAAAGCAGCCAACAATACCCCTACCATTGCCTATATGCTGTGTTGCCTTGAAATTTCCTGCACCACATTAATTAATCCATCACCTTTAAACTCAACTTCCCATAAAGTCTCAGCATGAGCAAAGTGTAGACAAATTCTTTGCCAGAACTGAAACACCCTAGAGTCCTCATTTCCATCTGAAACTTCATGAGCATAGTCTTTACTCTTCACATTCCTATCAGCATTGTTGTTTTGAGCTTCCACCAGAATCATTCATGAAGTTCTCTTTATGGCATTCTAAGCTTTTTCCAGTCTGCTTCTCCAAATTGATCCAAACTCCTCCTGCAAACGAATTCCAAAGGCTCCTGAACCACACGGTCATGTATAATCATAGCGACCGCCTCACTTCTCAGTAGCAATTTTCCATTTTAGTCAGATTTCCATCTCTCTGACAAAATATCTGATGTAAACAACTTAAAGGAGGAAAGATTTATTTTGGTTCATGGTTTCAATCCTTGGCCACTTTGCCCCTGTCCTTTTGGACTTGTGGTGAGGCTGAATATCATGGCAGGCAACATGTGGTGAAGCAGAGCTGCTCACATTCTGGCAGTCAGGAAGTAAAAAAAGAGAGAGAGGGAGAAAAGGGATCAGGGTCCATCTTTAAAGACACTGCTCCAATGATCTGTTTCCTCCAACTAGGCCCAACTTCTCAATGGTGCCATCATCTGGGGACCAAGACTTCAACACACAAGCTTTGGCGGGGGGACACTTAAGATCCAAACCACAGCAGAATCCCAGGTCTCATTTCCCACTCTTCTTTCACCTGTGTTTTCTTAGCCTCAGGATTACTGTGATGAAAGAGTTTGCCTGTTCCAGGGAGGCAGATCAGAGAAGTCAGGGACCCATGATTATCTCATGGTTCCCAGGGCAACTTCACTGAGAACCACTGATCTTTGTCCATGGTCATCCATCCCACTTCTACTTATTTTTAAATTTAGATAGGCCTAAAAAAAGAGAGTATATTATTATGATTTGCTTACAGTGAAGAGAATCCTTGAAACTAACAACAAAAACTCAGGAAAATTGTGCACAATAAGTGGCAGACATCAGAAGCAGAAAGACCTGAAATACTTGTAGTCTGATGTGATTGTGGAGGACTTTCATAGTGGGCAATAAGCTTTTTATATTACGAAGTTTGGGAAAAATAAGGCAAATGCAGCTCTACAGTGCAAAGTAACAGGAATAGGTATTGGTATATTGGAGAAAAATGGAGATTTTATAGAGAGACAACCTGGGGATTGGGTATAAATAGAGTAGAAGAATTAGGAAGAGGCGAAGGAGGAATTGAATGAGTTCCTTCATCCTTTACATTTTAACATTAATAGTTATCACACAGTCTTTAAAGTAGCTCTGACCTTCCTTTGTGTTTGACCTTGAGCTAAGGGTGCTGGCATGTTTTTGTGTCCAGGTCCACCATAATATCTGCAATATTATCTGATTGAGTGCAGATGTCTTATAATTTGATTTTTGTTTTCATTGAATTTATATCATATGACAAAGGTCTCCAAGAGAACCTAGGCCTTGATTTGGAAAGTCTGCTGATTTTAGAAAATCTGTCTTTAGTTACTGATTTCTCTTACAGTCTTGCTGAAACTGGAAAGTCTCTCGAAGAAACCAAGAACAGATCTGCCATATCCCTTTTGGCTGCAGAGGAGGAAATAAATCAGCTAAAAAAGCAGTAAGAAAAATGATAGGATTATTGCAGCCTGCCAATTAATCATTGACTCAAGTTTTTTTTGATGCTCTGTTACAGTATGAAAAAATAGTATTCATAATTAGAGAGAAAAGGCAGCAACATTTTTAGTAATGTTTGATATATTTTTCTTATTACAAAAATGTTACCTAAGGCTTGGGATATGTAGCTCAGTGGTAGAGTGCTCACTTAGGATGCTTGTGGTCCTGGGTTCAATCCCAATACCACAAAAAGAAAACAAAAATATTATTTACGTGATATAGACTAAAGTCTCTGAAGTACAACATAATATGAAGACATCTAAAAACCCTCTCATAATCCTAGTGCCAGTAACTGTCCATTTGGTGTTCCTTCTGATTAACAGTGCAGAATACAGAATAAAGTATATAAGTATATATTTTTGATCCCATTGTTTTCCTCTATCACCATGAAAAAATAATTGCAGAACTTAGTTTCAAATACGTTCATCATTTCCATCATTTGGATATTTCCTTCATGTTGAATATTAACTTAGATGCGGATTTTCAACATTGGAAAACAACACTGGGATAATTTTGTGGAAAATATGAGCTTAAATTTCATATTATTACCTAAAGATCAATTTCTAGAAGGGAACAAATCAGCATGTGGATCCTTTAAGGTTATATGTTTCTTGGTGTTAGTTTTGATTTCCAAGTGGGAAGTGTATTTTACTCACTTATACTCACAGACACATACTCAAACTCACACTTTCTGATGGTTTTCACATTCTAGTTGTTCTCCTTTCTTCAGGAACACACATACCTCTTAGCTTAGAAGCTGTTCTGTTTTCCACTTCTAGCTTCTCCCTCATCATCATTTTAAACTCTTATTTCCTATTTGGTACACGTTCGCAAGTTCATTGATCATATTGCTCATTGGTCTCCATAGTTCTGAATCTGTTATCTGCTGTTTCTGGTGTAGCTTTTAACCCTATTACCTTTTTTCACTTCTCTTCATACTTCTGAATCTTAATTCTCACCTTCTCATCTTGCACTATTGTCATGATCATCACAGCATGTTCTTCTATGGCTTTTGCTTCTGTTTTGTGGAAGCCACATCTCTTTGGATCTTTAGGAGGGTGCCAGTTTTATTTCTAAAGATTTTTTGTTGGTTTGTTTCTGTACTCCATTATTTTCATAGTTTTGTACTTCTAGATAGTCTTTTGAATACCATTCAATTTCCATTGAAGTCCACCCCTCCAACTCTTTTTTTTGAGGTACTGGGGAGTGAACCCAGAGCCTCATGTTTGCTAGGCAAGTGCTCTACCACTGAGCAACACCTTCAGCCCTGGACTAGGATTTGAAGGTCAGGTGTTTCCAGAATTTCATAGAATGGAGACCAGTGTGGAACAGCATGAGTATAGGTCCACTCTACTTCTCTTAGAGGCCCTGCATGAGCATTCTTTCTTTAGGGACCTTTTCCCATGCAAGCTGCAGATGGGGACTAACCCCCAGATACTGGCAATTCTGCTCTTTGCTCATATGTGTTTGTTCATGTGTATTTCCATCTCACCTTTCCAATGCAAAATGGCAGGCTGATGTTAGGTATACCAGTTGTTGCTTATTGCCCTCCCTCCCTCTCTCTCTCTCTCTCTCTCTCTCCCTTCTTTCTCTTCATTTCCTTTTCCCTTCCCTTCCTTTCCTCTGTTTAATCTTTTCCCTTCCCTCCCCACCCTGTTCTCTCTGCTCTTCAGGCTTAAATCTCTTCAAGCCCAGGAGGATGCTCGCCATAGGAACTCAGAACCTAGGCATACAGACCAGAGCAGAGACCAGATCAGACCTGAGCACCGCAGTTCCTTCAAGAGGGGCTCAGAGAGAAGGAGCTCTGATCAGAGGAACTCGGAGCCACGGACCTTAGAGCAGCGGTGCGCAGAGCAGCGGAACTCAGAGGTGATCTCTGACTATGAGAAACAGCTCCGAAACCTGAAGGATGAGATTGCTGTCTTGTCTGCTGAAAAAGCTGGTCTTCAAGGAAGGTCTGACAAATTCTCATTGATCTTTTCATTTGGCTTTTTTTTTTCTCTGAGCTAGTAGTAAAAGTCTGAAGTTGATGGAGTTGGGGACTACAATGACCCTGTAAACCAAAACTGCAACAATATTTTCTTTATCCATCTGTTGAAGGGCATGGTATTTTTTTTCCTATGTCACATGATGGGTGGTGTGTATAGGTTAAGTATTATGAAATCCTTTTCCACTGAAGGGCAGGTGTGTTGAGGTGGGTCATTAAGACATTGTGAGATGAAGACACAGAAGCATGTTGATTTTGGGAGTCTCCTCTCACTTTTATTTTTTCTACCCCCTCTGCTCCAGGCTCCCAGCATGCTCTAATTCAGGCTATTGAAACATCATCCTTGCCTGTACCCATTTCCCTAAATGACACCTGAGTCATTTTTGGGACTCCCTCTGTGCTGTCCTGGTGCTGATGTGTACTTGCTCCCTGGAACCTTTTCCTTTCTGCCATGGTAGGGGCATCCTCACCCTGGAAATTAGCAAACATAAGGCCTTCTCCACCCCTTCCGATAGCCTGCCAGTCAACACTGACAGCATTGTACAGTTTCTCATGTAAAAACGTCCCTTTTCTGGGGCCATGTCCTCTGGATTAGCTGGTTGATAAGTTCACTTCCTATTGGGTAGCAATCCAGATTGTCCCACAAGGCTTGAGCGATGTGCTCCTGTGGTGTGTTAACATTCCAGGGTCAGAGTCAGAAACACCAACCTCTGACTTCTCCTCTTGAACTCTGGCTCTTGCTAGCTGTGTTCCTTGAGGATGGTCCTTTAATTTTTTAAAGCTTCAAGTTCCTTATGTGTAAAATGGCTAAGAAGCAGAGCTGGCCTCTCGGGGTTGTTTCAAGGATAGATGTGCCACACTAAGGGGAGTGCTTTACAAATCCCAACTCTCTAGGCAGATATGGAATTTCTTACTTGGGGTGGCCTTTGAGACTGGGGGGAAGGTCATTCCAGAAAGCCACTTGACCTCCCTTGGAGGGTTGGGTGTGTCATTTGTAGTTGATGTGGGGAGAAGAACCAGGAACAAGCAGAGGCCAGGGACTCAGCGTGTCCCAGCCTGATTCCTCCTCCTCCACAGGGCACCCAGGAGCCGGTCTCCTAGCCCTGGCCCACGCAGCGGCAGCCACAGCCGCAGCCACAGCCACAGCCACAGCCGCAGCCACAGCCACAGCCGCAGCCACAGCCGCAGCCAGAGCCACAGCCCCAGCCACAGCCCCAGCCACAGCCCCAGCCGGAGCAGGTCCAACAGCCCCAACAACAAAATCGCCAAGATCAGAAGCACGTCCCCAAATGGTGGTTCCAAAATGTCCAGTGTGGCACGCAAAGCTGCTCTCCTGTCCCGATTCAGCGACGCCTATTCCCAGGCCCGCCTGGATGCCCAGTGCTTGCTGCGGCGCTGCATCGACAAAGCAGAGACAGTGCAGCGGATCATCTACATCGCCACTGTGGTAGGTGACACTCTGGTGGCCAGACTTGAGCTGTCCTGGGGGCAGTGGGGAGACATTTGGATAAAGTGAATGGTACAACTTTAAAGGGACTTGTGCATCTTGAGGTCACTGAATGGGGGCATTCTGGTCTCCCCTTCTGTCCCTTCCCTCTCCTTCACTCCTTCCTTTCACCCTCACTTCCTCCCTCTCTCCCTCCCTTCTTTCATTACAAATATTCGGGGGTGAATTGCTTTTCACGACAATAACTGTTCATATGCATTTATTAGTATTGACCGATTTGTTGAAGAAGTGTCCATAAATGTAGCACTCTTTTCAATGGGTATATACTAAGTTGATTAGCACTGTAAATCAACTTTGTCTAATATGATCATACGAGCACACACACACACACACACTATATATATATATATATATATATATATATATATATATATATATATAATCAATCACTGCAAATGACTGTTGCTTGATTCATTTACTTCAGGTCTAAACATCAGAAGTTGCAATTGTGTCAACTCTTCATTTATTTAATGAAGAGTAGTTAATGAAACTGCTAATACACCAGCTTGCTTGAGTAGGGCAAATTAAAAACCTACAGTCCTTAGTTTCCAAAGTAAATACATTTGTTCAATGGGTTGTTCAATGCCATACTGAGATACTAAGGGTCTATTATGAGAAAAATTAGATATAAAAAAGAAAATGTTGCTGTGACAGCAGAATTGTCCAGAATCCTGTGTCTATTCATTTATTTCAGAGGTCAGTACACTATGGCCTATGGACTATACCTGGGCCTGGCTTATATTTCTATGGGAAATACTGACCCCAAACTAAGAATGTAAGAATGATTTTTACATTTTTAAAGAATTGTAAGGGAAAAAAATGTGAGAGATTGTAGGTAGTTTGAAAAACCTAAAAGATTTGGCTCCTCATACAAAAATTTTTTGCCAACCCTGGTTTTTATAATTAAGAATCACTGAGTTGGTTATAGCTGTGCAAACATAGAGGCTGGGTCTCTTTTTGGTAACTAAGTTTTCCCGGGGCCTACTATATAAAAGGTATTTAGAAAGATTTATTGAATTAATATGTAACAGGAAATATGCATGACAATGTGCTTATGTAGGGAATGAACTCTAGACTGATAGTTTTCTCTCATTCTCGGCCAGTGATATGCTATTGTAGTGGGCTCATGGTAGAGGACCTCTGTCCTTAAATCTGTACTATCCTGCTTCACTGCACTCAGAAAGACCAGAATAGTGGCTAATGCTTGCAATTAGTGAATGTGGGCTGTTATGTATCTACTTGCATGCTTTTCAAAATTGAGAGATGTTATTTTCTATCATATTAAAAACATTTCGACCAACTGTGTTCAGTTATCTGAAGTCTAATATGATGTGGACTTTGTTATTCTTTTGAATTCATTTCTTTGAACTTATTTACCCTCTTCCTCTTATTAGATAATAAATGTGCTGTGTTTTCACATGCAGGAGGCATTTCACGTGGCGAAAATGGCATTCAGACACTTCAAGATCCGGGTGAGGAAGACATTAACACCAAATTATGGAGGGTCGAATGACTTTGAGAATGCTGTCTCCGAATATATCATTTGCCATCTTGATCTGTATGATTCCGTTAGCAGTGTTAACGTAAGTGTTGGGTCTCTTGTTAGAACTGGCTTGTGGTTGATGACATTTGCAATGGAGATTCATAATTCAGGAACTCATTAGCATTTGTATTGCTTCCAGTTAACAGAAGAAGGAACAGCATTCAGTTAGTCTTGTAGCACTAGTCACTTCTATTTTTTTCTTAGAAATTTTATGGAAAAAAATGTCCCGAGCTTCAGAGTTCTGTTCTTCAAGTGGGGCCCTAAGATTGGGAGATAGAATATCATAGTTCTTAAGAGGAAGGGATTTGGGAAGTAAGGATGGATTTGCATACTGACCCTGCCACTTGACTGCGCCATGTGATGTTACATGTTTACATAACCTTTTGGGGCTTAGATTTTCTAACCTTTAAATGGAAACAACAATGATTATTACCCCACAGAGTCATTGAGAGGATTTAATGAAAGAAAGCGGATCGTTTGCTTAGCACAAGACTTTGCACATAGTAAACACTCAATAAAAGCAAGCTATTTTAATTATTCTTATGGATTAGGAACACGTCAGAGTTCTGTGTTGGCACCTTATACACTTACACAGCAAAGAAAAATAAGAAAATAATTTAAGAATCCATGGGCCATTTTCCCTCTTAGTTTTGGGCCTTCAGCATGTCATTTGTGCTCTGTGTATCTTTCCTCCTTCCTTATCAAAGAGTGACAACATCCTTCTTTATGTAGCACCTATACTATTTTTCTGGCTTATTTTCACTGAAACCCTCTTTTCCCATCTCCCATTGGTCCTAGCTGATGTTAGAGTCCTCAGGGTGTCCGAGTGTCTTGTCACAGGTTGGCCACCAGATAATGCCATTTTTTTTTTTTTTTGGTTTTGTTTTTCAGGATGTGATCCGTGCCATGAATGTCAACCCCAAGATCTCGTTCCCCCCTGAAGTTGACTTTTGCCTTCTCAGTGACTTTATCCAGGAGATTTGCTGCATCGCCTTTGCCATGCAGTCCTTAGAGCCACCCCTTGACATTGCCTTTGGGGCGGATGGAGAAGTTTTTAATGACACCAAGTAAGAGACACAGGAGCAGAAGCTAAGGGATCCCTCTTAATAACTGCCTTGCTTCTGTTCCTGGGAACAGTGCCGGGGAGAGGACTCCAGTGTATGTGTGTGTTGGTGGGGGAGGGAGCGAGTAGACCCTCTGCTCTCCAGGGCCTGCTGTGGACTTCTCTGTACTTTTGAGCAGGCCCTTCCTGGGTTCATTCTCCACTAAACAGACTGGGCTTTGGGGAGAACTAAGGGTACCTGGAACCTGTCTGGAACATTTTAAAAGAAAGGTGCTCTATAAATGCAAATGTGTATTATTTTTTATTGGCTTTTATTGAATTATTTAGGCTAGGTTTCTCAAAGTACAGTGTGCAGTGTGCAGATCACTCAAGGTGCTTGTGCAAAATGCACATTCCTGTGCCACATTCCATGATATGCTGTTTCATGCTGTCAGTCTGTGGTGGAGCTTAGGAAGCTGCAGTTTAAAAAGTACCCAGTGTGCTTTGTGCACACTAAAGTTTGAGAGGATGCACTGTATTCTTATCTAGAATCAGATTTCTAAATTTTACATGACAGATATTCTCTTTATAAATTAAAAGATATTAAATTAATTTTAAACATTTATCGAGATTTGATGAAATTTTAGCTATAACTGGAGATTAACCTGGGAAGAGGCCAAGAACACTGATTCTGTCTTGGGCTGCCTGGGTTCAAATCTCAGCTCCACTTCCTGTTAGCTGAGTAGTCCTAGGCATGCTACTCCATTTTCCTGTTCCTTAATTTCTTCTCTGTCAAAGGGGGAAATAATGATGCCTACTCCCTAGGAATAGAAGGATAGCTGAGGTAACTGCTGGCATGCTCAGGAAATATCAGCTCTGGGTGTTGTTGGAGTCATGGAGTCGGGGGGAAGGGGCTACCCAGGACTCTTGAAAGCATGTTGTTGAGGGAGACCACATACCTTTTGGGGGCTTAGGCAAATCACATCAGTGATTGGGCTTTCTGGTTGCCTTACAGCACAGCTTTTATCTGTTTCTAGTTTCTTTTAGGTCACTGATCCCAGCATGCCTCCACTTATGGAAGAACATGACATCACAGGTGGATCTTTCTGGTTCATTTACAGAGCATATGTCATCATGGTCATCCACCTTCCTTTATTCCTCTCTCCTTTGGAGGACGGACAGTAACACTCAAACTTTCACCCATTTTAGTTTGTAGAATTTTCCCATTTCCCAGACCTGTCTGCCCTCCCAGTCACAGGCCTTTAACCAGAGGCACCTCCTGTCTTTCTTGCTGGATGGCTGTCCAGTTAAAATCGGGATTCTGAACAAAGATCGGCTTTGTTTCTGCCTTCAGCTCTCTGCATCCGCCAGGGTCTCCATCTGCAGATTCAACCAACCAGGGAATCATAGTTCATGCTCTGCTGAGTATTCATTTTAATGAAAGTGTCTGCAATTAAATATAGGCGAGTTTGAACTACCAGTGGAGGGGGTTAACAAACTTACAGCCATTTTTCTTTTTTTTTCTCATATTTAGCCTTAAAATACTGTTCACACATTTTGAGGGCAACTAAAACCTGCTATTTATTTCCTCTCATGTTGAGACTAAACCATGTTTCCTTTATTTGTTCAGTTAAATTCTCTTTAGACTCAATTGCAGGACCTCATATACATTAACCTTTAGTTTATCGTATTAGAGCCAACTTATTTTTGTGGCCTTCTTGATCTATTTTTGTATAATCATCATCTGTTTTTCATTTCCTATCCTCCCCACCTTTGAGCATGTTTCCGTTTGTACAAGTCGTTGGTAAACGTGTCGATGTATAGGATTAAAAGAGAACCTTTAATATCTTCAGTCAGGTTCTTGTTGATCCATTCATTACTCTTTGGATAGGATCATGGAACTAGTTTCTAGGCCACCTGCAGAAGTTAAACCATCCACCTGTATTTCTTTTACTTTGTCCACAGAGACAGCATGGAGAATCTTATAGGAAGCCTATGGGACTTCAGGTAGTCTCATTTCCCTGTCTTGCGAATCTTACAATCCTGGGCAGAGAAGGAATAAGATTAGTCTCCAGGACTTGCTCTAAGTGACTTCCTGACAGGTCCTAGTTATCATTGGTTTCTATTTTAAGAGCCTGCAGCCATCTCTTTAATAACAGGATTGGGATCCATATTTACCTAGATCTAAGCATAATCAAAAAAGAAACATCACACGCAAGGTTTCCCCCGATGATGCTATATAATTGCTTAACTTCTTTTTTCTGTTCTTTTGTGTTTACTGTAGGTACCACCGTAGCTATGACTCGGATTTCACCGCTCCCTTGGTCTATTACCACGTATGGCCTGCTCTCACGGAGAATGACTGCGTCATTATGAAGGGAGAAGCTGTCACCAGGAGAGGGGCTTTTGTACGGTGGCCTTGCATAATGACAGTTCATCCCCAGTGTTTGATTCACAAGTTCGAGAATATTTATAAACCCAAAGATTCTATAGAAGAAGTTGATGAAGAGTTGTTTGATAAGATTTCATAAAAAGGAGAAGAAGATGGCCTTAGGAAAGCAGATTGTTTTTATTTATTCTTCCATCATTCTGCATTATTCCCTAGCAGTAATTTCTTTATTGCTCTATTTATAAGATGGAACTAGTCAAATTTACCTCTTCTTAGAGGGATTATGATATTTTAAGGGAAAACCCTTGAAATCGTCTTATTGGAGGCTTTCTATAATCCTAAGCATTTGAAAGTGATTAATGAACTTTCAGGAAACAATTTGACAATTTTTTACTGATAAGTCTTCATTTTGGGAAACTATGACTGTGCCATTTTTCTCTCCTTGGTATGACACGTAGAAAGGGGAGGGATGGAGAAAAAGAGGAGTCAGGGAAGAGGAACAGATCAGTTTTGGAAGATTGCTTTCTATATTCAGGGCTATACAAGTGCTAAACATATTAAATAATTTAACAGACTTCATAAGGGAATCCTGGGTGTCTAATTGTGTGAGCATGTGTGTGTTGTAGGAGGACCGGGTGCTGCAACTGGTGGCTGCAGGTGCTGGTTGTACATAGTTCATGGGATACAGTGTTGAACCTGGCCTTATCTAAAAAGGGTTAATTCTAAAGGGAAACCCCTTGATCCAGAGCAAAACCATCATCTGGGTGGTCTCTGATTCGATTCTCTTTGAACTGGGCAATAGGGGAAGTGCCTGCCTCATGGCAGCATATAGTGAAGGGGAGGGGTGTATTTTATTTTCAAAGTACTTAGGAAAATGGTTTGTGTAGCTTAAAAAATCCCATTGTGGTGGATTGTATCTTAATAAAATGTTTTGTGCTATGAGAGTGGAGCTCATCAAAACTGGGTTTTGTTGATCTGACAGCTACACATGCTCTACAATGATCTTATGAAAGCATAAGGTGTGCTTCCTGGCCTCCAATACTGCCTGTCTCTTAAACACTCCGCTGCACTGCAGTTTGGCAGGGAGAGAAAGGAAGCAGCCACTGTACTCATATTCTCCACCAGTTTCCTTTATCCATCTTCCTTCTCTCACATCAAGTATATCACCGCCATTTGCCCAAGCTTAAACCTCAAAATCAAAAGATTTTGATTCCCCAAAAGGAAAAACTTGGAAAAGAAAAGGGTTGAGTTGAAAGAGAAATCTTAAGAAGGGATTTTACTTGTAAGATAAAATCGTTGTATTATTATTGAAACAATAAAAACAGCATATGTGTAATATATGCAATCAGATAAATTGGAGATACAGTTCTGGTCTTCATTCATTTACAGTTAGAGAGTCAATGTGCAACAGTGGTGTTTCATTCAGTGGTATTTATTCAAATCTATGACCTGAGCACTGTACTTAAATGCTAGAGGATTTGGCAATGAATAAAATAGACACAATCTCTGCCCACCTGGAGCTTATATTCTCCAACACTTGCAAACTCAAATGGGGTTTCTAATAGTTTACTCTAAGAAATTAAAAAAAAATTCTAGTACCAAGAATCTGAATAACCCCAAGTTCATTTTAGTGTGATTTTATTTGAAAAATTATTGCCAAATATTGGGCAGTCATAGGAAATAAAAAGAATGTAGCCCATACTGGTGACCAGTCATGGGCAAGGATAATCCTGTTGGTAAACCTCTCGTTTCATGGGATATACATGTTGTTTGAAGCCATGTCAGCTTTTGCATATTCTTTTGTACATTCTTAATTACTTACTTCTCTCTCTCTGTCTCTCTCTCTTTTTTTTTAGTGGAATTCAGTGAGAGCTGTGAGTCGGTGTCGAAGCAGGAGTTTAAGTCCCATTTGCCCCCGTAACCGCATTGGTTTAAGCACGGTACTTATCTGACTAATCATTTTTACACAAAATGCCTACAGCCCACGTTTTCTTTGCTTCAACAGTCTCTTTGGTGATTGTAAGTCTCTCATAGGTATAAAGAGAGCTTGTTGCAATATCACTAACCCTAAAGTGATTTTTATACTACTGTGGGCTAAGGAGTTTTACCATTCTGGAGTGAAGGAAGAGGAGGGTGGGTTTTTTTTTTTTTTTGGTATTTTTAATTAGTTCAAGCAATAATAGACTTTCCTTACTTAGTAGTTTTATTATCTCTGATATTAGCCTTTAGATATCACATAGCTTTCTGAAAAGAGAAGGAGATGCCTTGGTCAACTGATCTGGTCACAGGTCCCTGGTTCCTCTCACAATTACTGTGTGAGTTTGGGGAAATGGTTCATTTCCAATCCAAATCCAAATGGATCTGGATTTCATTACTTTATTGAACGTATTTATTTGTCCCCAATTTCATAGTAGGAAAAATTAGTTTCTTTGTGTATTGGTTGTTGGAAGAATTACTAACACTTTCATCAAGATAAAAAAAAAAACAGAAAAACATCTCTGAAAATTTTGAAGATAGCATCCCTAGAAACATTATTACAACTCACCACTGTCCATTTATTCAACAAATAATATTTAGTCAAGACTGGAGCAAGACATGTATATGTCAGAGAGGCAAACAATCATCTATTCCTTGAAACAGCATTTGTTTACATGTATGTTCAGCCTTGTTTTAGAAGAGAGCGGAGGAGCAGAACCACACTTGATAATATTAGATGTCTCTGAAGTGTTCTTTAACATAGCAGGTGCAGCCCCAAAGGGGCGAGATCTCCTTGGCAACAAAACAAAACAAAACACAGCTAACAAGAGTCACCTTTCTCTTTTTTAAATTATTTTGTAAAAATTTTAATTTGTTATATATGACAGCAGAATGTATTACAATTCATATTATACATATAGAGCACAATATCTCTGGTTGTACACAAAGTAGAGTCACATCTTCATATCTTCATACATGTACTTAGTGTAATGATGACCATCACATTTCACTGTCTTTCCTACCCCCATCCTCCCTCCCATCCCCCTCCTCTTTTCCCGTTTGCCCTATCTAGAGTTCATCTAATCCTCCCATCCCCCCTGCAGCATATTATGGATCAGCATTCTTAAATCAGAGAAATCATTCATCATTTGGTTTTTGGGGATTGGCTAATTTCACTTAGCATTATATTCTCCAGCTCCATCCACTTACCTGCAAATGACATGATTTTATTCTCTTTTATTGATGAATAGTATTCCATTGTGTATATATACCACATTTTCTTTATCCATTCATCTACTGAAGGGCATCTAGGTTGCTTCCACAGTTTAGCTATTGTGAATTGTGTGGCTATAAACATCAATGTGGCTGTGTTCCTGTAGTATGTTGTTTTTAAGTCCTTTGGTATAGACCGAGGAGTGGGATAGCTGGGTCAAATGGTGGTTCCATTCCCAGTGTTCCAAGGAATCTCCATACTGCTTTCCATATTGGCTGCACCAATTTGCAGTCCCATCAGCAATGTAAGGTTGTGCCTTTTCCCCCATATCTGTGCCAACACTTATTGTTGTTTGTCTTCATGATAGCTGCCATTCTGACTGGAGTGAGATGAAATCTTAGAGTAGTTTTGATTTGCATTTCTCTAATTGCTAGTGATGATATTGAAATTAAATTTACTGAAATTAAAGATGAGATTTTAAAGGCAGGGTTTTGGAGACATGAGATGACTTATTGAGGCTATGTAGTAGACAATTATATCATTATTTTAGATTTCATTGATTATTATAATTATTATTTTCTGAAAAGCATTAATTTCAATATGGCCATTGAACCCAGTTTGTAACATTTTTTCATATATTTGTTGGTTGTTTGTATATCCGTTTCTGAGAAGTGTCTGTTCAGTTCCTTGGCGCATTTATTGATTGGGTTATTTGTTTTTTTGGTGTTAAGATTTTTGAGTTCTTTATATATTCTAGAGATTAGTGCTCTATCTGATGTGCATATGTAAGAATTTGTTCCCAATTGGTAGGCTTTCCATTCACCTCACTGATGATTTCTTTTGCTGAGAAGAAGCTTTTTAGTTTGAATCCATCCATTTATTGATTCTTGATATTAATTCTTGAGATATACAGGAGTCTTATTAAGGAAGTTGGGGCCTAATACAACATGATGGAGAGTTGGGTCTACTTTTTCTTCTAATAGATACAGTATCTCTGGTTTAATTCCTAGGTCCTTGATCCACTTTGATTTGAGTTTAGTGCATAGTGAGAGATAGGGGTTTAATTTCATTTTGTTGCATGTGGATTTCTAATTTTCCCAGCACCACAAGTTGAAGAGGCTATATTTTCTCTAACGTACATTTTTGGCACCTTTGTCAAATATAAGATAACTGTAATTATGTGGATTGGTCTCTTGTGTCCTCTATTCTGTACTATTGGTCTACAAGTGTATTTTTATGCCAATACTATGCTGTTTTTGTTACTATTGCTCTGTAGTTTAGTTTTTTTAAAATTTTTTTAGTTGTAGATGGACACAATACCTTTATTTTATTTATTTATTTTTATGTGGTGCTGAGGATTGAACCCAGTGTCTCACATGTGCTAGACAAGCATTCTTCCACTGAACCACAATCCAGCCCAGACTTACCTTTCTTGAGGAGTTTAGCAAGCATTTTGTTTCTGCAGCTGGCTCCTTCTCAAACATTCCTTCTGTAACTGATAGATGTCAGATTTTGGAGGGACACAAAAACAACTAAGCATGATTAGTCTTTCCCTGAAAGGACCCCCGTATAGGAAGATCAATATAATTTAAACAAATTAACTGAATGTAATCCAGTCGATAAAGTGGTACAGTCTGTAAAACAAAGGCCATGATAGTAAAAAAAAAAAAAAGAGCTCTTTGGGGAGCTCTTTGGCTCTTTTAGAATGAGTAGAATTTCAATGGGCTGAGAATTGGGGAAAATATTTAGGGGAGGAAAATGGCCTAAGAATGGTGGGGAGGTGGAAGAGAGGCATGCATCTGAGTCATTTTGCTCTTGAGGATTTTAATATAACTTGATTATCTGTATTTCTGAATAAGTATTTAAAAAAGGTAAAAGCAAAAAGACATGCATGTAATGGACTGATAAATAAAAGGGAAATAGTGGGAGCATTATACTGGGAGAATCATAGTCTTCCCATTCCAAGAGGAAACTGCATATTAGAGGAAAGTAATGTTAGACATGTCTTGTGTGACAGCTGGGGCAGACTGTCACTCTGGACTCTGATTAGACATTTCATCCATGGACAGTATCCTCCGTGATGAGCCCTAGACACATCTAAACCTTCTGTTTCTCATTTTTGCTAAAGGGAACAAAGTAATTTGAACTTTAGACAAGGGAGTTAGAATGTATTCTCAAAGGTGAAACTTCTGCCAACATTCCTTCTCTTTCCATCAGCCTCTCTCTACAACAAAACTGGGTATATCTGCAAAATAAAATGTAAATGTTTTTGGTTAGTCTGGCTTTTTGGCTTATTTGAGGTCTCCAGAATAGACTCTATCTACCTTAGCAATCTATTTATTTAAAGTGTTGGACAACTCAGGGCAGGAATGATGCTTGCAGGCAGCGTCAGCTGAGAGTAGCAGTGGTAGCTTCTGCTTATTGAAATTAAAGATGAGATTTTAAAGGCAGGGTTTTGGAGACATGACTTATTAAGGCTATGTAATAGACGATTATATCATTATTTTAGATTTCATTGATTATTATAATTATTATTTTCTGAAAAGCATTAATTTCAATATGGCCATTGAACCCAGTTTATAATTAATACTATAATTTAAACCAAATTGAGTGCCCATTTAGTTCAAAAAACATAAAAGGACTCACAGTGGTCAGCCTCAGGGGAGAAATCATAGTTCTAAAGGGCCTTGGAGCAACTAATTAGATAGTTTTAGGGGGAAAAAAAGAACACGTCAAAAGGGTTCATCCTTTGAGCTCTGTCTACTGTGTGTTTCACATTACACTTTGTCTTATTTTTCAGATATATGGAAGTCGGAGTCCTTCTCCAATAAGATGTACATTGCCAAGTAAGCAGGATAGTTAAGACGGATTGAGTTTTCTGCTTTTGAATACTCTTCCTAGTATTCAGCATTGTGCAGCACCATGAGTGTTTGGCTCCTTAGAGAATATCCTTTCCCTTCCTATCATCCATTTCTGGGTCCTCTCACAGATGGGACCCATGCCGGAAGAGCCTCTAGTTGAGAGGTTTAATTGCTGTAAACCTAGATCAATCACCCCTTTTACGTTTATATACTTCCAAAAGAAAACTCTAAGGAACTGGCCATAGTGATGAACTGTTTGTTTTTCTCCACAGGGTTTTAAAACCACCACGGGTGGTCCTATGCCACCGCATGTAGTGCATCATTGCAGCCACCTTTCCCCTGGGCCTCCTGCTGCCTGCCTTGTCTGCCTCCGACTTCAATTAGCATGATGTGAACTGGCATTCTGTGTATCCCTCTACACACAGAGTTAAATGTTTTGGCTTAGCGCATCTGTAATTTTAGATATATTGCATTTTATTTTATTTTATAGGTACAAATTCCATTAATTTCATAAAAAAACGATTGCATAGGCATTTAGGATCATATTCATTTGAAGCAAAGTCCATTACAAAGATTCAGGATTTCCATCTTGAAATACTAGGTTCTTTTATAGCAACTATATGAACAAGAGTGCAAAGTCTTTAACATGCTGAATCCAAAAGAAAGGGCATTTTAGCTTATAGGTTGATCCTACATGTTATAATTGTTAGTATCAGCTTTTAACCTGAAAAAAAAATGGGTGCTCTAATTGCATTTTAAGGTTTGGAAGACAACACCAATCATATTAGTAGCAGTGATGTAAGACTAAGTGTAACCTGTAATAATTTAAAAGTATGTCACTTTGTTGGCTTGCTTTTCTGTTTTTGCTTTGAGAGTTACCCATTTTGGCTTTGTGGAGTACCAAATGTGGAAGTCACTTAGTTGAGAAGTTTCTTGCTTCATAAACACAGAGCAGTAATTTGATTAGATGCGGCTTTGAGATAAATGTTGATCACCTTGCATTATCTACTTAGAAATGTCTTAAACAGTTTAAATGCACATGTTAAATATACAAGTTACCTATGGTACCTGTTCTTTACCTATTCTTCCTCCTATAAACTCCAACTGACTAAAAATACTAGAACTTAAGAAGTAAAACTCAGGGCATCATTTATCTATTTTAAATTGAGCTTTTCTCGCTTGACTTGTTTACTGTGAAGTACTCTTGAAAGTTCACATTCAAGATAATAAAGAACTGTGATTTCTCTAGAAGCATGATGTTCTTTCTGCCCTGCCTCCTCTTCTCAATCCATCCTTACACCTGAGCCCTTACCATTGACTGCTGTTTCCATACACCTTTTAGAGAGAAATTTTGAATTGGACACATCTTAGTTTGCTGAAGTTCAGTACCTGATGCTTTTCAGATGGGTAGAACAAAAAACTTCTCTAGAGCATCTTGCCCCTGTCCTGGGCGTGGGAGGACTTCCTTAGTCTCTTTTCTTTGAATCCAATGGCCACTGATCTCTCTGAGGTGTGAATTTAATTTTCTCTCTTTGTGCATTTATGGCATCACCTTTTTGAGATCTCGTGGTGTGTTGGAAGGAGCACTAGGTGTCCCCTAGGTAGCTCCTAGAATCCCTCTGGTCATTAGCTTGCTTTGTGGGCTTGAGCAAGTTATATCAACTCTCTGAACCTCAGTTTCATTGTAGAGTGAGAGTGCTGGATGAAATTAGTGCTTCTTTTAACCCTGTCAGGCTTAATCTCTCTTTTATAGCAAATATTTTATTCTGGATATCCTGAGATGAAAGCCAAAGTTAATATAATCTATGTACACATAGAATTTTAACAATGGATATAGTACCCCAAACTGTAAAATAAAACAGAGGGAAAGCAAAGCAAATTTAATAAAATGTATTTAAAAATTTTAAAAGAATGGGTATAGTTACCCTAGAAGATAAGGTGTTCGATGCTTTTATGCAATACCTGCCTGTGGAATCACTAGCTACAGCTGCAGATTGATGTGTGTTGTGTTGGCAGCAGAAGATGTTAGTGTTGTCATTAGATACAACTTTCTGAAGTGGAAAGGGTCATATTAAAAGGGTACAATTAGTTGGCTTGCTTGGTAATGTTTTGAACAACAACAACAACAACAAATAGTCTTGCTTGACTTGTACAGCAAATTGCACTCCTGGACAATTTATTATATATTAAAACCATGCAATTAGTTACTTTGTGTTATGTGTTGAAAGATTTTTTTTCTGAAGTGTAAGCAATGAGAATGCCTATGTGCCATAATTTCTTTTCAGGAGACAGATGTATACTCTAATTTGGAAAAAGGTCACACAGCTCAATTATTTGCTTTTGGTCCAGTCTGGCCACTTGCCATTTCTCAAGTTTCTGATTTGAACTCTAACTATAGAGGGAAAGTGGAATAGTCTAGAATTGTTTTTGGAAAGAATCTGTGAAACCAAAGGAAGCTGATCTGGACTTATTTCATCTGGGTATGTGACTTAACTTAGAAACACTGAAAATGAAAAAAAAAAACTTGTTTTTTTTTTTTTTTACCCTGGGTAAATGTTAGTTTCTATATTATTGGATTAACATCTAATAATAAAATCAATAAAAATGCTTTTTGTATTTGTCAGTTCTTTGCAATGAAGCGCTCTCCTCTCAGGTTGCAGTTTAGTGATGTCCTTTACCATCTCTAATCTGTGAGATCTTGTTTTAGTCAGCTTTTTTGCTGCTGTGACTAAAAAGACCTAACCAGAACAATTGTAGAGGAGAAAAAATTTATTTGGGGGCTCAAGGTTTCAAAGATCTCAGTTCCACAGACAGCAGGCTCCATTTCTCGGGGCTTGAGGTGAGGCAGAACATCATGGCAGAAGAGTGTGACAGAAGGAAGCAGCTCACACGATGTCCAGAAAGCAGAGAGAGAGAGAGAGAGAGAGAGAGAGAGACTCACCAGATACAAAATATATGCCCCAAAGTCACACCCCCAATGACCTCCTCCAGCCACCTGATCTGCCTTCAGTTCCCACCAAGTTAATCCCATCGGGGGATTAATCCACTGATTGGGTTAAGGCTCTCATAACCCAAGCATTTTACCTCTGAATATTCTTGTACTGTCTCACACATGAGCTTTTGGGGGACACCTCACATCCAAACTATAACAGGCCTGAATCATGACTATATTCATTCAAAAAATAATGCACCCTGCTCTGAGGTTGATCCCTGGATTACTGCAATTCCATACCATAACTTAATTGCTAATTTACTATTCTTCACAGATCCTCCTCACATTCTAGACTCTTTTCTGTGTTCATAAGTTTTCACTTACATTGCTTCAATTTTTCCCCACAACACCGAGGTGTGGCTTCAACCTCACAGAGATGGAACCTGTTCATCCAACACACTGCATTCTGGTTTCAGTCTCTTGTATCAGAATAAGATTCAATCTGTTTTCTTTTGTTCCTTCATGTCATATGGTGATCTTAATTTGATTTGTTCATCTACTTACTCATATGCTTACTGAATACCTCCTGTGTGCTAAGGATATAGGAGAGGACAAAGTGCTGGTTTTTATGGAGTTTAATGTCCTGTCCATGTGCATGCCATGATGACTTTCCTGTCATGGGGAATAAGTATGAGAGGGGGGCAGGAAATGGCATCAAGAATCCAGCAAATGTAAATGTAAATGGGAAATATTACACATCAATTGAAGGATTCAAAAACATTAATTCATCAAGCAAAGATCTCAACATAAAAACTTACCAAAGTGAAGAGTGTAAGAATAATGTGACAAACTCAAGAGAATATGACTCAATTATGTCATCCACAGATGATTGATATACTCCTGGCATCATTAATAATGAGTTGGGGAGGAGGAAAGAGCCCAGAAAAGATCAGTTCCAACACCTCCCATTACCACATATGTGTGTTCCATCTGCTGTATTCCTAAGTAACAGGGCCATTTGCAGACCATTCTAATTTGCTGTGAGAGGCAGGTCACTGCCAATAGCATTCTACAAAGTTAAAGTCAAGTGCAAGTTTTCTTAATAGCATTGCTATGAATAACTTCATACCCATAATCAAGGATAAGGTATTATGGAGCTTTTAAGAAACTAGCATTACAAACTGCATTAGGTCATTGACATATGATCTCAGGAACCATATGGGTAAGTGACATTTAGTAAATGCCATTTAAATACCAAAGCAGTGAAGTGTGTTGACCTTAATACACTAAGTAAGCAAGGGCCTTGAAAATAAGACAGGGACTCATTTTCTTATTTCAAAATAAAATGATAGAACAATTTAACACTTAAAAAACTGCTCTCTGGGGATCATCAGGAACATCAGATGTTCCATGGTATCACTGGCAATTGCCCATCACAACTGGATAGCTATTTCTACTTTCTTTTGGATGAACAAGGACTCAGTATGATATATGAGTATGTTACAGCTTTGCTTCAATATAGTTGAAAGATTTTTGGGGGTGATGATGCTGAGGATTGAACTCAGGACCTCTTGCATGTTCTACCACTGAGCTACATCCTGAGTCTGAGTCATTTAACATTTTATTTGATACAAATGAAATAGTGAATTGAGAAATGGCATAGAATATATGTTAGAAAAAGCTATTTGGTGGTTGGACATTGGTTAGAACTTGAGGATCATTTGATGAATCAGACTGTTCAAGGGATTTCTGCTATTGGGATGCTGGGGCAGGGGACATCACATCCCCCCTTTTCCTTCTATCTTCATCGGTCAGGGAGTAAGCTTCACAGCCATATCTTAAAAGAATGAATTCCAGGATTGGCCCAACTTGTGGGTCAAGAGTTTGAAGCTGGAATGGAGAGAGGTTACGTATTCATTATCTATTCATTTAAGAAGCTTTTGCCTTTGTTTTGTTAAATGGTGTTCTAGGTACCTTGAAGCCCCACGGACGCAGTGGTAAATAGGCTTTCAGTTGTGAAAGGGGGTCCTGGCACTTCTTGGCAGTGTGTGCCTTCAGGCTGGATCTGTGGTCTCTGAGAGTAGGGGCGTACTGTTAAGAATGTCTGTTTGGGAGGTCATGTTAAGAACCTCCTGTCAATAGTGAGTAGGGTCAGTGTCTTCCCTGACGCTGTCACATGGAAACCTGGGCTCACTATTCTGTGATACTCATTCAGGCATCACACAGAGGCTGTCCCAGCTCTAGTGAGTGAATCTGAGGAAACACAGGTGACTATGAAAATGGCAAGAAAGATCCAAAGGAATTTGCATTCATCCTTGGAAAGGTGGCCTTAATTAGAACCAGAGCAGACACCATCAAGGTGGAAGCCTCTGCTTTCTCCAAGGACTGGGTGCTCATTTTAAGGAGCCTTCCCCACCACCCACACATTATTAGCAAGTGTTTGATATTTTCCTTTTTAGACCTTACTCCAGCTGAAGACTTTGAAGGATGTTAGAATGGGAATGACTTGGAGCAGTGACCCCATAATATGGATGAGGTTTTGGAGTCCTGCGGATAGAGAGATAGAGGACAGACTTTGAGGCTTAGTATGAGATTAGGGATGGCATGGCATGTTACAGGAAGCCTTTTCCCTCTGAATGGGTTGGTGAGTTGGGAGGGTGGGAAAAGCAGGCTCTACCTCTTCCTCTGTGGCATTTGGCAGGGGCACAGTCTTGCTTCCTGGCCTGCTTGGAATGGAGAGAGGTTAGGTATTCATTCATTATCCTTTCATTTAAGAAGCTTTTGCCTTTGTTTTGTTAAATGGTGTTCTAGGTACCTTGAAGCCCCACGGGCGCAGTGGTAAATAGGCTTTCAGTTGTGAAAGAGGTTCTTGTCACTTCTTGGCAGTGTGTGCCTTCAGGCTGGATCTGTGGTCTCTGAGAGTAGGGGCGTGACTGTTAAGGATGTCTGTTTGGGAGGGTCCTCGGGATAAAGCACTTCACCTTAGAAATGGTCCAAGAACTGTTAGTATCTATAGAATGTCCTGTTGCTTATGACCCCTGTTTGCTGCAAGTCACTGGCTTGTATGTGATATGACTAACTTCTGACCTTTCTTGGTCTGATGGAGGAAAAATAAAAAACTCTCTGGAAAAAAAATATATATATACACACATACACACATACATACATACATACATACATACATATATTCTTTTGGTTTGGTTTGTTTGGAAATGTTTATTCTAGATGCAAAACAGATGATAACATAACTTAATACTGTATATTGATAATTTGACAGGACTCAACATGTCCTTAAGTTTTCCAGAATGTCCTCAGAATA